TTTGGTTGACTCCGACTCCACAGGTCTCTACCTTAGATCCATTCCGCAATGAATATGGTACTTCAAATAAAACTTGAACTTATCATTTATTTTAAGCTGTTGTTTGCAAAAATGCTTTCATCATCTATAATTTTCATTATGATCGCCTTGGGAATGGGTAGTAATGAATCAGAAATAACTCTATGTCATCAATCGCTTCCTAATAACGTGTCGTTAGGGATCGGTGCCGGGGGCTGGTCATCATGCAATCCATTGAACCAGTATTTATCATCGTGCGGTGATTTGTTTGATAGAATTTGTTCACACGAGCAAAATTTTGGTCTAAAATGTGCCAAAAAATTTCTCAAGTGTGGTTCTAGTATTGCATTATTTATAGAAGAAAATCCTCTCTACAATTCTCAGTTGAAAACGTACAAACATTTACGATACCGTATCGCGCATTGGTTCTCTTTTAACTTTAATTCAACATTGGCATTCGTACGACGGTTACGACCACCAAATGGTGGAGACAACGGTGCATTCGATGCTCTATCTAATGCTTGGCTTCGCCGTCATCATTGTGATGCTTACAAGCGCATTGAAAATTCGTTGAAACAGCGAAGAATTAATCAAGCAACTCTCTCATGTATCATGGTTCAGCTTTGTCGCATATTGAACTCCAATAATTCCAATCAAGGTCTTCGTTCTTCCATCCAAATGATAGGTCGGGTTAAAACTATCTATTCAATATGGAGTAAGGAGCAACGTATCGCTTTGACAAAAGAGAAAAACACAGTTGTTATGGATCAATTAACAATTAAAATAGTGGTCGACACAATAGATGATTGTTACGCTGTTCAAAACATACTCATGCAAAAGTTCAAGGTTTCAAAGATAAATAATTATATTTTAAAACCAAAAAGCAGTGGTTATCAAGCTATTCATATCATTCTCTTTGGTTTACAAGAAGATCAGTTTGTTGAATTACAAATAGTTACCCATACTATTAATCAAGCACAGATGGGCGATGACCATAGTCAATATAAAACAATGCAAGACACTTTTCTCTATGAATAATCACATTTTAATGGTCAATTAGTTATTTGTATTCATAATTTTCCGCATTGAAGTTATAGGAGACAAAAACAACTGCTCTTCATTCTCTGCTTTAGGTTCCCTGCTTGGGTATGGGTGTGGGTGCGATTCCTATTGTACTTCTGACTCACACCCAACGTAGAACTCATCGAGTCAGTCGCGGACCAAAACCTGATCGAATTTGAGTTCAAAAAAGTTTTGGACACTTCATATCTTCGGAACGACTGTCCATTTCCGATTAAATCTCTTCCCGCAATAGAAGGTCCACCATAATAGAAGATACATCTGGGAGAAACAACTCGGCAGTCGTAACAGAAAGCATGTTCAATGGATTAATTTTTCGAAAAGTTGGAAGCTTGATTAGTGTATTTATGTCAAAATATGTCTAATTTTCAAGGTGTTCAGCTGAAAATCTTAAAAGGCTAAGGTCAATATTATTTTGTGTGTTTTTTATGCTTGCAGCATTTTGACTGACATCTTTCGTCCTGGTCAAAATAAACAACACACCTGGTTCTTTTTATTATTCCTCTATTTTCTTATCGTTTGGACACATTTTTGTATTCCAGCTACACGACTTGCTACTCAATCTTTGCTGTGAGTTTCAGCCACACATAGCAAGAATTCTTAGAGAAAACTGCGAATGTGAGTTTTGGTATCCGATATGAAGAAATGAAGAAATTCGTAAACGTTTATTAGTTGTGGAGTCATGACTATTGGATGCGTCAGTAATTGAATACGAAGAAAGTCAAAATAATATTTTAAGCTCTACATTAAAGCTCTCTTTATAATCTGGCTCGAGCTCGATCAAAATTCAGATCGACACTGCAGCACATTCATATCTACGGTTACTGTCTCTTTACTTTTTCTATGATTTATGGTGTAATGCATGGACGATGTCAAAGATATTATCACCTACGACTTACACTAACTAGATAGCTAACTATTACCTAAAAACTCAAATGGAACGAGAAATGGTAGCCAGACAAGGGCAACATCAAGTTTTGGTTTTACTCACACATGAGTCGCAGTTTTCTCTATGAATTCTTGCTCTGTTCGACTGAAACTTTCAGCATAGATTGAGTAACAAGCCATGTATCTGGGATATAAAAAGGTATCCAAACGATAAGAGGATGGAGGAATAATCAACAAAAACTAGCTGTGTCGTTTATTTTGGCCAGGAGGATTTAATCATGTTTTTGCAGACTAATTTCGTTACATTTGATGGTCATTTTCATACGCAAGTCCACTTAGAAACCAATCTGTTGATCAATACACACAAAATTCGTACCACGACCTTTTCTCCAGCCATCGGAAAATAATTCAGAATGAGGCACATCAGGTACGAAAACACAAGAAAGAGGGAGGTGTTCATTCAACTGACAGATAGATATTCAAAATGAAGAGGGTAGAAAAACGGCGAGTTCTTCGGTTTAATACTCATGAGACATATGACCTTTGGTCCGTACAGAGGAAAAAGTTGGTTGACTTGAAGAATGGAGATCAGATTTCAATTATACGAGCTGTTTGTGCTACAGGCTGATCAATTGTTGTTGTTTTATTAATTCTTTAGGGCGATCACGTGATAGCACAAACTGCAACGACTGAAACAATTTTACTGAGTCCGAACCCTGATCCAGGTAAGACCAAGGATTTTTCTCCTATAATTTCAAGCTCGTCTTTATTTTCTTGCTTACACCAAATGAGCGAGGTCCATGACTGGCAACTCTTTTGGTCATGCCAGCATAACGATTGCGAAGAACTATTGCGAATACAGGATTTTTTTCAATGTAATCTGACGAATAATCATATCAGGAAAATTTTGTTTCTCAACTCTCAGATTTCTGAAAGCCCACTCGTTTTATTTGATAAAATGTTCAAAATTGTTTTCTAAGCAAAGATACAGAGTAGAACACACGAATGAAATCTATATTCAGAAAACAACCAGAAAGACTCTTTTTCATTGCATAAAAATCGAAATCCCAATGTTATCGTTACCGCACACAGATGACATTTTCGATCTGAGTTGCACAGTACATACACAGGCTATAACATAATTATAGACCCTCTTTGGGGAAAACATGTTTTCTCTTCTTTTAAAGGATATCAAACCCTACAATTTTAAAACTTGATGTGCTTTGTCAAACCATACTATCGAATTTGGTTTACAGGTTAAAATTGCGTTTCTATTCCAGTCACTTACAGAACAAAAGAAGTTTACCAGTGTTATTAAACCATATCTTTTTCAATTTCGCTCTTAATGGCACCATTGCGATTCTAATGGCATTATCCGAGATACCACACTTACTTCTTTAGTTTTAAATGGATATCGATCATGAAAAAATTATCTCCTGGCAGAATTTAGCTACCAAACGACGAAAACTCAGAAAATATGTTCGATCTTGATATTTCGAAATAAAATTCATCTGATAAAATCTCAAATAGAATGGAAAAATCCATCTTCCTATGGTGAAGCTTTATTTTCTGAAAAATAATCAGATTTCGATAGGGGATTTTTCGTCACTAGGTTAATAAGATACAGCCACCAAAAACTACAAAGAAGGAAACAAGTAGATAATAAGAGTTTAGCAATAATTAGAACGAAAAATCAAATGAAATGACAGGTAAGCAGTTTCTCTCGTGACAGTTACAGAAAAGTGCGAAAGCACAATCATTATGACACTATGTTTTTAGTCACATGGATACATTCAACTTAAGTTGTGAGGAAATGTTGAGACATATTACGTCGAGAAAGTTAAGGCCCCCCCCCCCCCCCCCCCCCTAAAAAACTATTTCAGCCCAGGAACGTCAGAATTAGATGAAACTTTCAGGATATGTTGGGGTTGGAAACAGAAGACTACCATAAAATTTTCAGCCCAAAATCTACAGGTTTCAGGGAGATATGAACCAAAAAAGCGTCAAAAATGACTCATTTAGCATCCCAAATTTTTCGGTCCTGATTCGGTCAACATATTAATATTTTCTTTTGTTGGAAAGAGCATCTCAAGGCGCAGCGCATGACGAGGCCCCTTTTTTTAAACAGTCCTTTTTTAAGCGCAAAAAATGGTAGCAAAATCATATAAATGGCTGTATATTAACCAAACAAAGGCTTAATTCAAAAAAAGGACACGGTCATGCCCTGCGCCTTGAGATGCTCTTTCAAGCAAAAAAAATTTTAATACATTGAACGAATCGGGAAGGAGAAATTTGGGATGCCTTTTTGAGAAAGTGGAAACTGAGAAAAAACGAAAAACATTTTTTGATTTTTCAAAAAATAGCTGGTTTTTCGCATAGGGGTTGACGAAAATCTTGAACATTTTTTGGGAAAAATGAAGTAACGAGAAAAACAAATTATCGTTTATGAAAGAGCAGATGGTGGGCTATCTTCCCATGCATTTATCTCAACTTTGACCATTCTGACGAAAACTGACTTTTTATGAAGGGGGGGGGGGGGGGGGGGTGGCCTTAAGACAGGAAGTACTGGACACATCAAAACGTGATAGGGTGATTTTGCACTCGACTGGAATAATCTTATTGTGATTGACATCTTAATTGAGAAGGAATTGTCCTAAACAGTTTTTTAATTTAGTCTTCATCTCCTGTTGATTTAAATCGTTTTTCAATCTGTTTTATTTCTAGCCGCTACTTCAGACGCCGAAAATACTTCGTCGCATTCACCATATCCTTCTTACATAAAATGTATTACATTGGTTTGGTTGGCTCTGCGTCATGCAGGTAGTGTTGAGTTTAAGCGCCACCTGCGCACCATCCCGGGTACACATTTCATTAAATCGACTATCGTTTGTATTCGTGAAATCCAAAAAACAATATTGAGTCTAATTTTGATTTTCGGAGAAGAACGCAGTTTGATTGGCGGTTTGAAAACTATTTATAAGAATATTCTACTACAACCGAAAGATACGCTGAAAATGGTCAGTCCGGCGATAATCTATGTTGTACAAAATAATCTCAATCTTAAGGCCATTTCCACCTTGGACGCGCCTACTTTCACGGTAAATCAAATGTTGCGCGAGTTTCATTCACTCAGAAATTAATTCGATTGTTTTCGTCTTTTTTCAAATAGGTTGTCAATCAACTGAAAATTTTCACCACGGCAGCTTTTACAGTCATTATGCTTCGTCGCCGTTTGGGTCTTATTCAATGGTTTGCATTGATTCTTCTGTTTCTCGGGATTTGTCTTGTGGTATATAAACCTCTAACAACTGAAATACCTAAAAAAGATGTTAATGCGGCTTTTGGTTTGCTAATAGTCATTGGTGCTTGTGAGTACTGATCAGTGTGTTTTCTCATATTGTTAAAGAAATATTCACTAATTACTTCTTAATTAACCATCAGCTGAAAGCGTCAACATTTTTGCATATGCCTATAGTAATAGATTTTATTCAGAAAAAACATCCTTATAAAGAACCAAAGTCAAATGAAGGGTAGGTATATTTCGTATTGCATGAGATGACTGATATAATTTATTTAATTATAAAAAGCAAACATTACCATCTCTAAAATTTATATTATATTTTTTTTCTAATACTAACAAAAGAAAAATTATTCATCATTGTATATAAACAATTGAAGTGAATAGTGCATATTACATATATGAGATCTCAAAAAGAAAAGTATTAAAAAAAGGATATTGTATTTATGAGAAAGACTATCGTTTTGAATTAGTATTATTGATTCTATTTATTGATAAATTGGACAGATCAGTTAGTAATTTTTTACATATTGATGGGATATTACGTTATCATATTATTTCCATTTAAATAAAAATTTTTTAAAATAAATAAAACAAATTTATTTGAAAATCTTGTAATTTCATCAATTTGTTCACGTAATACTTGTATTTCTTGGTTACTTATTGAATTATTATTGTGTGGATCAATTTGACATAAAATTATTCTTAGCTTTTGATAAATATTGAATATAACATTCTTCCATTGCATTTATTTCAAATTCATTTTATTGATAGAATTTTATTTTATTTTTTTTATTAATTGTTTTTCTAAATATTTTTTATTTATTTGAATAAAATAAAATTTTTATATTTACCAGTTATATTTAATCATTTTTGTAATTCATCAATTTGATCTTTTGATCGTGTATTTTGTATCTCTCAACGTAGTTTTTAATTCAAGAATTTTTTTATTTCACATTCTAAAAGAAACAAAGATTATTATGAAATAGAATAATAAATATTTTATTTATCAAAGATCACATGTTAAGTGATTATTCTCATCTTTAAGTTGTTCACAATTTGTTTGGAGAATTAATATTTGTTGATTATTATTTTCTTTTCTTGAATATTATCTTAATATTTTTTTCGTTTATGTTGTAAACAAATAAAATTTCTCTAAAAGATATATACTATAAGTATAAATATGATTATGTACAATAGCATTGAAAATAAGATCTATAGGTGGTTAAAATATATAAAAAATAATAATTAATTATTATTATGATCATATAAAGCTCTTTACCAGAGGGTGTGGGTGTGGGTGTGGGTAGGTGCGGGTGTGGGTGTGGAGGGTAGAGCCCGTCGGGTAGGACCCGGACCCGGACCCTACCCGGACCCGGTCGGGTCCGGGTCCGGATCCGGTCGGGTCCGGGTCCGGATCCGGGTCTGAAAATTTTTTATTATCGGGTCCGGGTCCGGATCCGGGTCTGAAAATTTTTTATAATCGGGTCCGGATCCGGGTCTGAAATTTTGTTATACCCGGTCCCGAGCCCGGCTCTAAAAACTGATTTCATACAAATAATGACTTTTTAAAATACCTTTTGAGTTTTCGATCATTTTATTCAAAAAGCAATTATAAATTAACTTATAAAAATAGAAGAAAAACAATACAACTTGTTGAATATAGTATCTAAGTCTCTTAATCATTATAAATATATAAAGAAGACAATATTTGATTTCATGTTGTCCTAATTTGTTTGTAGAAATATGAATTAGTAAAATTAAGACAAGTATTACTGTTAATCAATAAGTTGTTACACAAAAAATTAATATAATGTTGTTTTAATTTATGACTATATATATATGAACTAGTAACAATAGAACAAGTATAACTATTGACAGTATACCTATTAAAGGAAAAGAATAATCTGATATTGTCTTAATTTGTTTTATTTAAATACCAGTTCATAACAACAAAATAGAAATAGTAATAGTCGTATACCTGTTAGAGAAAACAAAATAATATGATGCTGTTTTAATATGTTTTTTTTTCATAAATATGAATTAGTAAAATTAAAACAAGTATTACTGTTAATCGATAAGTCATTAAACAAAACAAGTAATATAATGTTGTCTTAATTTGTTTTATATAAATATGAATGCATAACAACAAAATAAAAACAAGTATTGATTGTATGCTTGTTAAAAAAAATAATTAATATGATTTTGACTTAATTTGTTTTTATCAATATGAACCAGTAACAATAAGGCAACTATACTTATTAATCGTATAGTTGTTAAACAAAAGAAATAAGATAAAGCTGTATGAATCTAAACCTTTATCTCCCTATCTGAAGTTATTGGTCAAGAGTTGGAGCTAATTACAACTTGATTATAGATCACGATCAATATGGCCTGACAAACACATAGGACGCAGTAGTGATCGATAGGATTGAAAAAAAGATCTTGTATTTATGAGGCACTATTAGATTCCGACAAGAATAATTCATTGAAAATGTCCAGAATGCCGGTCAATTCAGAGTTAGCAAAAGTTTAATCAATGGGATATAGGTTCGGGCTCGATAAGTTTTAACCAGCCGTGTTCGGGTCCGGGTCCGGGTTCGAGAAAAAAAAGTTGGGTCCGGGTCCGGGTCCGGGTCTAACTAAAATTTAACTAATCGGGTCCGGGTATCACAGACATTCAGTGAACTGGAGCCGGGTCCGGTTCCGGGTCTGAAAATCTTGGACCCGACGGGCTCTAGTGGAGGGTGTGGGTGTCGAGGGTGTGGATGTGGGTGTGAGTGTGAGTGTGGGTGTGGTTCTCATTGAAGATAGAATCCGACACCCACACCCACCCACACCCACACCCACCATACAACTCAATTACTAGAAATAGTAGTCTGTATTTCTTCTTTATGAATTTCACTCACAGCTTTTTTCACTATTATCGCTTCTTCCTTTCTTTTCTTTTCTTTTCTTTCATAATAAATCATGAATCAATTTTGCAACTCACACAATGATGCATTCGTTTCTTTTTAAAGAGAGTTGTGAGTGGCAAAAAGGTTTCTTTAAATGCTTCAGATGACACGTGAACTCGGGTATGGGTCTCTGTGTTGGTGAATAGAATGCTAAAACTGATATCTACACTCATGCCCACCAACCGACATCAACACCTACACATTAGTTTACCCTTGTCAATCAGGCATCGGTCGCACTCGAAATTGGTTGACGTATGAGAATGAAACAGAACGAGTTGCTAGAACGAATAATTCTCTTGCGCTTCCAATAGCAACACTTCTACCTTATAAAAAAAATCTATTCTACTAAAAAAAAATATATAAATTTCTTTTATAGTAGTGCGTGATGAAAAAAACATCCAATGAAAGAGAAAGTGACGATATACTCTACTGACAGCCGACTATGTCAATAAAAATATAAATACAGGACGTCCAAAAAATACCAAAGTAATAGTATTTTCGTATATCTTTTCTATTTCATTTGAATTTATCAAAATTTTTTTTAAAATTATAGGTGAATATACCGAGTTTTTATTTATGCTAATGGTCTTCGATATTCATATGCAAATGTATCATCTTGAATCAATACACAAAAATTTTATTGTCTTTCGATTTTCAGAAAAAAACATTATGTACAGTATTTTTCTTTAATTATTTCGACTTCCTATGGTAGTTTTCTGTAAATTTTACTGCAAAGAAAAGGTTAAATCTTTTTCAATATACGTACATATTCTTTTAGAATTCGACAGACTCTATCTAAACGTATGAAAATATTTAAAAAAATTTAGTCGACTTTTGAATAATTCATATCTTACAAAGAAATCGAAACTTTTGTATATTGGTCCAAAGTGATATTTTTACACAACACTATGAAAGATCGTTCGTATAAATAAAAACTCGGCATGGACGCCTGTAATTTAAGAAAAAATACTTGGTAAACTTCAATGAAATAATAAAGATATACACTAAAACTTTTGGTAGGCTGTTAGCCACACCCAGTGGATGGTGTGGTCGAAATTGTAAATAAATACTGACTTACTGCATGATTTTCCGGCGCAGACTTTCTGATTTCTTTCACAATTCTAAGTTTTTTCAAGTTAGAATACTCTAAGTAGCCAGACTTTTTAGGATAAGGATATTATTAATAGTTTTGTAGATAGCTAAATAGTGGAGGCAACAACTGTAGACTATAGTCTGACGTGAAAATAAAGTTTCATAAGATGTCCGCCACATGTGGTTAGGTGAGATTGAAGCATGTCATTAGTCTCGCTATGAACGACCTTAGTCAATAAAAGTCGTTAATTTTCATAGAATGCTAAGTTCTTTCAACATTATATCTTTACTTGAATTACAAAAATTATAGGATTTGATATAAACATGGGTGACAACGGTAAAAGACGACTGACTAGACTTAATTTTTTCGGTGAATCAACTAGTTGGAGAATCCGACGATCTCTACGCCGGTTTGGCAGGTCGCTGATCCAAACGCTGAGACCATCATGTACGCGTGGCAATCGTGACACCGCTTACGAAGTGGTGACATTGACACATCCTCCAGTGCGCAGTGAGTTGGAAAATCGTTCTTCTGACAACAAAGCAGATACCGACAATGTTGGTACCATTGAAGCAGACATTCCAAATGAAACAAAAACGTCAATAAATTCTGAGCGTATCGAAGATCGACCTTTAGATACATAACGTGTTTTGCTTAATGGCGATTACTGGAAATGATAGTGATGATATCTCAATAGGATGGTGTATCTACTATATGAAAAGACATTTCTGCCAACACAACAGATTATCACTTTTAGCTATCTTAATACAGAATAATATTTTCTACTTTTTCTCAAAATGTTGCTTATCATTTTTTAGTTTCTTTGATTCAAAATAACTGACGCAATTTCACTTGTACCATAACTTTCATGAGATGGTAAATTGGGTGTGAGTGGGTGTGGGTGTGGAGGTGGGTTATGGAATAACTACATCCACACCCTTTGATATGCACGAATATCATTTGGAAATCGATAACGTATCAGTTGATGGAAGAGATCAGGAAAAATATACGGTTGATCTCGATTTCCAACTTGGCGACGATCAAGATATTCCGACAGACGAGCATACAGTTCTTTACGATATTCTGCATCATTACGATTTGTTTCACTTGTTTCTGATCGGTCAATTGTATCTGAAAAACAAAAAGAAAAGCAAATGTATAATTGATACGATGATCAAGTTAACTCTTACTGATTAAATGAAGAGGAATTTCAAGATTACGTTTCCGAAATTCTTCTATTATTTTAAGCCGAATTTCTTGTAGACTGTCAAGAGTTGTTTTCAACTTCTTGTTGGAACTATCATTGTTAAGTTTTTGATCGTTTTCTTTTTCTTCAGACGAAAGCGAACGTTTCGATGAGGAAATCGAAGAAGCCATATTACATTAGATTATCTAAAGAAATCCAAATTCTTCAAAAGTTGAATCTGCTAGAATTAATTTTTTTGATAAAAGAAATCGAGATCAAATCAATTTAGTGTTTTTACGTAGGAGTGCCGAAAGAATTGGTGCAAAACAAGCTGAAATCCCCTAGTTCTTGCTTCGTGAGAAATGGGGAACTACTTATGGTTAAATTTGTAGACAAGAAAGCTATTGGTGATAAAGAAATCTATGTAATTGATTCGAAAGGTGTGACTGATGTCGTTCAAGTTGAAAGATTCGAAAAAGGTACGTAAAAGGTGTGAGTGGGTGTGGATGAAAAGACATCCCACACCCACATCCTATTAGTTGAACAGTAAAGATCATAAAATTTAAACCAAACATCTTTTGGTTTCTCAATTTCACCGATCGTTGTATTAATTAGCTTAGCCTGCACAAATCCAGATTTTATGAGAGTTTTGAATTGTGGAGCAAATAATTGATTGTGAATAACTGAATGCATCAGAAGTCTCTTGAAGTCTCATAGTTTCATGAAGGCTTGTGAAGTGTCCTTAAGTCTCTTGAATATTTGAAGTCTCTGTTGTTGAAGTCTTCTGATGTCTTGAAGTCCGCTGTTTCCCCCTTGTTCAGAAGTTGATTAATATATAATTGAATTATGTAAACAATATGTATGAATACTTTTCTATTGAAAGGAGAAAAAATTTTCGTATAGTCTAGAGAATTTTAATTATGATAAGTAAATCAATCTATCCATTAACAAATAAATTGAAGAGATATTTTTTAAAATGAATCAGTAAGAAAAGTTTGTTTATGTATAGTGCAATTTTATATAATTTATCTATTTATTAGTTTTTACCTTCGAAGTAGAATTAAAGAGAAGAAACTAGAATTTCATTATTGACAAAATGAATCAACAAAAAAGATATCATACACGAACTGTAATAATAAATAAAAGATAAGAAAAAAATTGCTTGAATATACGATTATTATTTCGATGATGAGTAAAATGCAAGATATCATGAGACTAGAATCGTTACCAAATGAAATTTTAATGGAATGTTTTAAATATCTCAACGCATTGGATATTTTTGATGTATTCGATCAAATCAATTATCGCTTGAATAAACTTATTCGAAATATTCCTTTATATGTCAACTTTCAACATATTCCAAAGTCATCATTTCAGAACTTTTGTAAAATGATTCAATTAAATTCAATCATGAAGGAACAAATTTATTCATTATATTTATCAAATAAAAATACATATAACCAAATCGACGTATTTCTATCAACTTTTTCACTTAATGAATTTCCTAATCTTCAATCATTAGCATTCACTGAACTTCATCATGATAATGTAAACAAATTGAAGTCTATGTTATTATTGATACCTCGTTTACGCTCTTTTCATTTGATTGATTGTCATCATGATACAACAGCTCTTCTCCCAACACCTAAAGTGTCAATACTGACAATGCCAGAATTAGTTCCTCTTCGTCTAGATTCTTCAATTATAAAACTAAGAGCTTCTCAATCCTCTTTAAATAATTTATATGAAATATTTGAATATGCACCGATGATAAAATATCTGAATCTTCAACGTATACGTGAAGATTATATTTTAATGGATAATATGTATTTTAACACAGATTATGTTTCTCATTTAAAACAATTGATTATCGGAAGATATTCGAATAAATTTCTATATTTTGAAATGTTTGTAAAACAAACACCTTATTTAGAAAGTTTAACAATATTTTTCGAATATAAAGAAGATATGATTGAAGTTTGTCGATGGGAACAATTGATTCAACTTTCATTATCTTATTTGCAAAATTTCAATTTTATTTTTCAATGTAGTTTTACACATGATAAAAACATTATTGATAAATTTAAACAATTTCAAAATGATTTTTGGCACAAACAACATCATTGGTATACAGAATATTCTTTCAATGATCAGTTTGTACAGATTTATACAATACCATATTTCTCAAATGTATATCAACTAGAAAAGCCTACTCATAGATATACTTCTGAGTTAATTAATCATTTAAATATATTTAAAAATGTCATATATTTAACATTAGCTTCTGCCGTAATAACAGACAATTGTCAATATTATTTTTCAAATGTTAAATCATTAACAATAATTCCTTTCAAATATGATCATAATCTTCTACATATTCAATTTCTAAAAATAATTATTAACTTATCTAATCTAAAATATTTAGATGTGTCAAAGATTTGGAAAATGTTAACATCATCAATATTATTAGAAATTTTAAAAGAATCGCCACAATTATCATCATTAATTATTGACAAATGTAACTTAATGTCATTTTTCAATGATAATGAATTATGCAAATATTTAAATAAAATGATAAAATATATCAAATTATGCGATTATTCATTCTCTCAAAAGAATGCTTTAGAGATAAACAAACTTTGTGAAGTATTTTCAAATATCGAACAATTTGATTGTGTCATTAATCAATTGGATGATGGAGAATTTCTGTCGAATAAATTATCAAAATTGTCAAGTATCAAAGCTGTTAGACTTCGTAATTGTGGACATTTCAATGATCGGTTCAACAAAAAGTCCCGAACTAGATCTAAAATACCATACCTAGACTTATTTCGTAGTTTATGATGTTCATCCAGAAAATTTTCAAATAAAATGCGATATTTCGATTGCATATAATCATACGATTCAATCACATTTTGTGTTGAATTTTTTTCCTTTTAACCATATGTTCAGTTTGCCAATAATTTTTATACAACTTTCTAATTTAGAAATAAAAACATTATTTTTATAGATTTTCCCCTGATTACTTTCATCCCATGTAAAAAAAATTAGGGGTAAAATCAGATTAAAATCGATTAAAAAATGATTAAAAATCGATGAAAACCATACATCTTTTAATCGATTTTTAATCAAAAAGGGTGTGGGTGTGGGTGTGTGGTGGGTGCGGGTGGGTGTGGGTGTGGGTGGATGTGGGGTTGTGGCTGTGGGGTATGGGTGAATGTGGGGTTGTGGCTGTGGGGTGTGGGTATGGGTGTGGGTGGACGTGGGGTTGTGGCTGTGGGGTGTGGGTGTGGGTGTGAGTGTGGGTGGATGTGGGGTTGTGGCTGTGGGGTGTGGTGTGTGGGTGGATGTGGGGTTGTGGCTGTGGGGTGTGGT